TTTTATAAAAAAACTTAAAAATCTTTAAATTCAATTAGAGTCGCTCAACTGCAAAAAATTTCCATTTAAATACCTGTTATTGAACTGTTTCTGCACAGCGATATGTAAGATAAAACAAGAACATTATCATTTGCAGAGGTGGGAAAATGCTGCATAAATTTAAAGTTTTTTTGCAGTTTCGTCGCAATAATCACATCATAATTCATAATACTATTAAATCACCACCTTGTAATTCTAATAATTTATGAAAAAAAATTATCCCCCTATAAAATATAGCATATTAAAAGATTTAAATTATAAGTTATTTAGAAACAGCATTTCAAAATTTTGTTTTTATCGTAATTTTTTATGCGATTAGTCAGCATAAGCATTTCATCGCTTTCATGAGCCTACCGGAGGCAGCTTCTCAAAGAAGTAAAGGTTAGAAGAATCTGTTGCGAATGAAAAAATTACAAGTTTTTAACAAAGAACGTGTTTAGCAGAAACTGCTTTTTCTTCCGTACTTCAGTAAGATCCAACTTTCAGGCAGTGCGGTTTTTTAGCTGAACTGTTTTGGTTTCAAAACCCAGTACCAAGTCCTACAAGCCAAAAAAAAGTAAAAAATATGAAAGGTCCACTAGAAACTGTGTCATTTTTTTGCCCAACACTTATTTATTTATTTCTACAAAAGTCCAACTTTAAGAAAATTATATTGTTTCAAAAATCCACTCAAAGTGACCAAAGAATTCACTTTTGAAATTAATAAATGCCAACGTATCTTACAGATTTTATAAAAACAAATTTTATTCGTGGTTGTTTTTTTGTTCGCTCAATCCGCTAAAATATCTAGGTCTTGTTAGTTCATTTAATGCTCTGCGCGATGAAATATGAGAAGCTAGGCTGCAGTTCAAACCTTCTTTGTAGACAGCCTAAGTAAGACAAATTAAAAACTTATCTCTCTTAGACTCATCTCCTTTCACCGCAGTGAATTCAGAGCTTCACTGCTTCATTCATCAGCACTACAATTTACCTATGGCATTAATTGTTCTCGAAAAGCAGAATTTTTAATGTTTGCTGCAGCAACTGCAGTAGATGGCTAATAAAACTAGGTAATACTTTTTAAAATTGTTTACCCAAGTAGATTTTTCAAAATGTGGGCTGTACTTCTGCTTTTGTTTCAAAATCGGAAATGTTTCTGTAGGTATGAAAGTCACAAATCCCAAAGTTTAATTTTTGTTTCAACCTTTTATTAATACAAATAAAAATATACTTTCTTTATGCAACAAAACCGTACATAATAATATGTACCACTTC